CTGTATAGTGAAAACAGCGATGAATTGCAATATCAAAAAAAAAAAAAGTATTCTGAGCAGAGCTCGGTTAACTAGTATTATAGTCATATTTTGCCCCTAGATATGGTAACTCAGAAATCGTTAAAAAAATCGTTATTTGAGGTCAGTTTAATATAATTTGTTTAGAAAAGATGTCGGACATCTAGAAATCGTTTTCGTATAAAATAACCGAAAACCACGCGTCCTTCAATAGATATTACATGAAAAAATCTGAGAATTTTTACTAACCGAAAAAACTCTACGTTTTACTAAAACACAAATATTAATTTCTTAGCTATAATCGGAATATGTACCTAATATGATTAAAATAATAATAATATTTATTTGAAAACAATAAGTTCGGATGGTGAATACTTTATACACAGATTAAGTATTATGAACGAATAAATTATTCGAATTTTCGAGTGACAAAAAAATAACCATAATAACCATAATCCGAGTAATAATTATATAAAACAGTACAAGTATGAATTATTGTAAGGGATCGATAACAGCTCAGTATATTACTATTATTATTACACAACGTTAATTGCAATGCCGTAATGATTTTGCGAACGAAATATATTAATATTACGAGAGGGGAAAAATGTAAGTATGCGGGTAAAGTATTTTTTATCTATGTGTATATCTACTACGTATATTATAAAATTCATTGATAAATAATATTATTATGTATGGTAACGATGATAAGATAATTTACCTAATAGGTATAGGTAATTGTACAAGAAATAATTATTCTATAAATGATATGGTACCTCGAATAATTAATGTAGGTATAAATGCGTAGTAGTCGCTGTATTATAAATGATGCACGTGTTAATGCGTAGAAACGCGATGACCGCAGAGTTTTTTTTTTACGTAGATTTTTAATTTGACCGAGGGCGTAAAAAAATGGATAAAATTATCACAATGTACGTACGTGCAGTTTACATAATAATAATAATATTATGTACCTACCTAATCGTCGTTGGTATTTTTATTTCGAGCATATTTTTAGTAATAATCGTCTCGATAAAATTATTGAAACGTTTTTACGTCGGTTTTACGCCCCTGAATCCGCGGTTTTTTGTATTCACATAGAAAAAAAAAACCGTTAATAATTAACGCGTCTTACCGTTGCGTAATATTGTAATAATACACGCATAGGAAACGCGGTGGCTGCGTGCGGGTCAATCGTAAAACAAAAACGGCAATTTTATCAATGAACGGAAATGAAGGAGATCAGAAAGTTTTTTATTTACGCGCATACACAACATGGCAATTTAGACGAATTTTCCGGCAATCGATTACGGTCCGATCGACGTAGTGAAATGATAAAAATTCTGAAACAGATTTGAATCCAGCGTGAAATCTGCACGCGAGATCGGTTAATTTCCCAAAAATTGATTTGAAGACTTTATGCCATTGTCGTAGGCAGTGGCATATTTTCTAATTTTTCGTGTGGGGCGGGGTTTAAAATTTCTCTAAATAGGGTGATTTTTTAATCGTGAACCAGTAATTATCTCGGACGATTTTAAGCGAATTTGATTTGTATTTTTTTTTTTAATCTTTGTACTATTGTTTAAACTTTATTTTAAAATTATTTTTAATTTTTTACCTCTACTCTATAAATTGTATATCTATACTTTTAAATGATAACTCTTTCCTACTCCTCCGGTCGGAAAACTCTTAGGAAAATCGAAGAAATGACCTTAAAGTAACTTTCCAGTCAGATTTCTTTTCAGAATAGGTGGTATCATTGTAAATCGGATCAGAATTGTCTCGGGACCACCTGGTCTAAGTAATAGATATAATAAAACGTAGTTATTAGTATTCAATTGGTATTATATCCGTAAGACCTCGATTGTATTACATTATATTATTATTTTTTGTTGTAAATATTTAATTAATATTAAATATCGTCATAAGAGAAAATAGCACGGATATATACTTCGAATATTAACTGTCTAAATTAAATGCTCGTTTAGGTATATAGAGAGAACTCGAGTGACATTAATCAACCAGTCTCAATCGAATGTGATATTAGTACCGATGTATGTATCATATCTGTGTAATAATAAACTATGTCTAGAACAATTATTGTTTCTTTTCCTAAGTGTAAATCCAAATACTAACAAACTCGTTGAGAGTCTACTTGGCTTATAACAATTGCTTGTAGGAAAGTTGTTCACGGGGTAAAAAAAGGCCGGAATTTTCTCAACTAATACCCACATTTCGTACATTTTCCCATTTTTCTCATTAGCTAAAAAAAATCTGAGAAAATCAAAAAATATACAGTATGCATATTAGTAATAGTAAGTATTTATAATAATTATTTAATAATTCAACTATTTTAAGATCTTAACACTTTAAATGCAAGCAATAGCTAAAAGAAAGTATAAAGACAATTGATTATGTACCGAAATGTGTTTGCAAAATATATTATGCATACAATTTTCCCGTCACAATGTTTGTTATTGAACTCCTCCGAAACGGCTTGACCGATTTTCATGAAATTGTTTGTGTATATTTGTTAGATTCGAGAATAGGTCATAAAGTATTTTCCACCCTCCTACCCCCATCCACAATTTTTTAATCGCGATTTTAGTATTTTCGCTTATATTTATATACGAGCAGCACCAAATAATTTAGCTTAAAATATAATAAATACAATTTTTTTTTTTTTTGTTGATTCGTGTTACCCCGGTAACAAGGGTGAAAAAAAATGGCGATTGATTATTATTATAAATCAGTCGGAAAATATCGTGTAACCATCAAAACCGGTCCAGCCGTTCTCGAGTTAGAAAATGGTGTAACTAACCCGACACTGTTTTATTTGTATACGATTTTTGCTTATTCCTGGGTTGCCACGGAAAAGAAAACTATTACAATTATTATTACTACTGTTATTTACACCATTCAAATTTCATAATAGGACGCATTTAGTCCGCCGAAGGTCGACTACCCACTTTCCGCCCATTTGTTTTCATTCGGTTCTAACACGGCCAAAACCAAAAATGAACACATTCAAATAATAAAATAATAATGATACAAATTGGCACGGGCAACGCCGGGCGCAGTACAGTTAATAAATATATATAATATATATATCTATAAAAAAAAAAAAATATTTGGTCGGAATAGATACCAGGACGCTGGATTCAAATACCCACGGCTAAGGGACGTATGGGATCCCTATGGAGACGTGCAACTCGGGAACGCAATAATCCGAAACGTAAGATTCCGGAATGTAAAAACCCGGACTGTAATTTCTGGAACCACAAAAACATTAACGATTTCTAAAATATAACACCCACGTAGGCACCGCTATTAGGTAGGTATGCTTTAGAATACATACTGGTACACTATAGTATTTATTATACTTAATAGATAACCGTGTTTATGGTCAACAGAAGAATATTTTTATTTGTTTTACCGTAGATAATAATAATATATTCAACGCAATTTGATGTTTTACAGGTAACGCGAAAGAAGAGGAGAAAAAAAAAAAAGTCCTGTGGAAATTAGGCAAAATAACCGGCCGAACAAATACGACGTATCAGTGAAGTTAACACTGTAGGCCACAGTTTTAAGAAATCCTTTTACGTTTCGGTCTTTTTATAGTCCGGAAAATCATGGCCTAACGATACCCCCCCCCCAAAGTTAGACAAATAAAGAAAATATCGTTGTCCGATCTCCAAACCAACGTCCGTATAATACTACGTTCTGACATTATTTTAAATAGGCACCTGTTATGAATAAAAAAAAAATAATGTCTATCGAGCAGCTTCCAGCTACAAGAGTCGTCTTAAATAAATACGGGAATCTTTTTAAAACTCGTAAGAAATTAAAATCGCATACCGTTGAAATGCGTACATAGATCAATTTATTATTGTTACAACACAATTTAAATGGATACAGCAGGTAGACACTTACCGAGGACGTCAATAATTAAGTAATCACTTTCGGCGCTTGCTTTATTCACAACAAATTGAACAATAATGATAATAATACACTTTCATTAATCGGAATTATTAACTTCGTCATTACCGGCGGTCACTCACAATCATTTCACAATACGAACAGCACTACCTACCACACGACTGCAGCAGGCCGCTTATCCGCGATAACCGGAAACCGGTTTGTTACCGTTTTACAGGGGCGCCATTTGAGGGGCGGTGTCGCGGTGACAACACCACCGCGTACTCTACGGTTACGGCCTACGGGCGCATTCGACATTTCGACAACCAAATAGGTTAGGTCGGCCTCCGGAGTTTTTCGCAACAAAATTTTCGTCGCCGAGCATTTATTTTATAAAAACAATACGGCAATAAACGGTTTTTGAATGCAATTAATAATAATTATAATTGTCCATTGATAATCGATGAAAACGCGGCATTAGAGTCGATATCAATAAAGATGACGAAAAATACGTAAGGGAAAACATGAAAAGTGTATAGACGTTTTTTGAGTTTCTTTGCGTTAAGATTGTCAAGCAAAGAATTTTTTTTTTCGTTGAACGGGTAACACGTTTGGGTAGCATTTAAAACTGTAAACTATAAATGTTTCGATAAAATTATACAGACATCACTAATGATTACCTAGGTGGCTATATACGTAGTATGTTTGCTATAATTGAGTATTCGATTATTAAATAATGCACACTATTAAGTTAATTAACCAGCAAATAGGTAAACAAATACCCATCAGATTTAATTCATAGTTTTAACGGAATAACATTCTACCATCATTGAATTAATTTAATAAAAGAATGAGAATAATAATGCCACACTTGGCAATTTTAATAAACCAATTATAAAATGTAATATAAATTTAATGTAGATACCTAAATACCGTGCAATCCATTTGACAATAATATTTAGAAGGAAAAAAATTTGAACAGCCACATTTCATGTACATGTACACGATAAATGGAATAATTTATAATAATTATGTAAGCATTTTAAATAAATAAAAACACATTATTAAAAATAAAACTGTGTAATATTCAAAAATATGATACCCAATTAACCAAATTAAAAAATACGTGATAATTATTGTTGGTGTTTATTTTTAAATAATACTTCACGGATATCCTTGAAAAACTGATAGAAGTAATGTAGATTGTGTCTGAATAATAACAATAAAAAAATAATTAATTTTGATTGATACCACATAAAGATTGATATAAATGTCTTTAAATAATATAATAAAATATACTTACATTGTTAATAATATAGGGCCTAGAGCTTCATTTGAGACAAGTAAATGATGAATATAGGCCTTAGTGTGTTTTTGACATGTCAAACAAGTGCACCCGTCTTTTAGTGGTTCAAAACTCTCAAAATACCTTCATTTATTTATTACACATCAAAATATTTCAATTCGGTAATTAGTATTAGTATTTATTATATATTATAGTATAGATATACCATTCACTAGAAAAATATGAAATGTCACTTATGGATGGGACACTGCAGATTTGGAATGTTTAACTTGCAATTATATTGCACATAACCACAGAATACAGATAAAAATGTTTATTGTATACATCTGAGCCCGTAACACAGAAAAATAATCTATAGATTATTTTGTAGGTGGTATAAACATAGAGCAGATATTGTAGAATAGCAGATTATTATAATTTATATCTTTCTATTGAATGATATATTTATGTTATGGAAAATGTGGTCCTACCTAGGCAATGTGAACTACCAATAAAACAATTTATTTTAACATTTAATGTAGGTATAATATGTTAAACATTTTAGTTTTACAATTTTTTATTATGTGTGAATTATTAAAATATTATGTTAGTTTAAAAGGAAAAAAAAAAATTGGGGAATCAGTCAAGGTTAAAATTTCATCACATGTAGATAGAGCATGAAGTGACCTAAACTGTGTTCTTAGTGTCAAAAGTATAATACTATTTTATTTATAAATTACTATACAAAATTAAACAATAATAATTTTGAATAATATTTCTGTAAAAAAACTTCCATGAAATTGTTACTACAGGAAAATTACAACAAATTTATAACAAGAGACCAATAGGTACATTTGAAATTAAAAATTTTTGAAGATTGACAATATCAGAAACTTCAATTTCATTGCTAGAGCAACTCCAACATTCTTAAAAAGTTAGGAGGACAAGAATAAATTATATAATCTTATCTATTTATAATTAATTTGATTTTAATATTTTTAAATATTTTTCCCATTTCAAATAAACACAATAAAATAACTCGCATAATGAAAATTATTAAAAAATACTGTTCAACATATTATGCATTTATAGCGTTCAAATAAATTATTTTATAATTTGCAGTTCACACTGTCAGTAACATCTACACTGCGTAAAATCAATATTTATATTACAAATAAAGTACGTTCTTACATTTTATCCATTAAACATATTTCATAAATGTTTAATTTTTCTCTATTTTTATCACTGTTGTTATCTGGAATGCTCAAAATTATGCCATTATTTCTGAAAAAAATAATATTAATATGTTTAATTCATCAAATAAATAGTATAATTGAAATAAAAAAATAATAATACTTACTTATATTTAAGGTTATAATCAAATATCAATGCACAATTATTTTCAGTTGCCAAATATGGGAAAGTTGAATCAAACATATCTATTCCGCTATTTATAAAATCAATTATTAAGGCGGGTGTCCAGGCACCAAATATAATTTTCATTTTATCAGGTGGGAGATATTCCTTGTTTGTGAACGACATATGTATTTTTAAAATTTGAATAGACCTTATAAATGATTAATTTTTTAATACAAATACCATTGTTTCGGTGATAACAGGCATTACTATGTCACAGGGAATATCTTCAACTGTACTTCCATCAGTAAAAAATCCATCAAATAAGAATCCCAACACATCATTATATTCTGCTAAATACTTTGCCGATCGTATTCTTTCTTTTACATTGTAACCACCTTGGATTGGAGCAATCACACCACTTCCTTTTAATGTCTACATAGAATAATGAACAGTTATAAATTGACTATTATTATTTAAAAACGTCACAATATCACAATATTATACTAATGTTCGATGCCACAAATTTTATAGTTAATAAATAATAGATTTAAAAAATTAAATTATTAAATCAATACAAATGTTAAGATGTTGCACAATGATAAATATTCATCAATGCATTAAATTGGTTTAAACTAAATGTAATTGTTATATAATTCTACATTTGCATTGATTTTAAGGAAGATAATAGCATATTGATATGATAATCGTTAATTAACAAGGGATTAGTAAGTAATTAGAAAAACAAAATAGAAAGTTTAATAAAAATAGATAAATACATTCAAGTATCCTAAAAGCAAATAATAAATCACATAATTAACATAAATAAGTGGATTATTAATATTTCGACAAAATAAAAATTATTTTTAATTTGATAAAATTTAAAGATAATGTAAGATAAAGTAATGGAGGTAACTTATTTATTTGATAAGTAAGTCTTTAAGGGTATTAGGCACTGTCTTTCTGTAAAAATTATATATATTATTACTTCTTTAATATTGGTAAAAAATTGTTTAAATGTAATATAAAAGGGTAATAACCATTAAATCCAAATATATAGATTTGAGTTTTTACTAAATATTTAAATTTAAAACTCAAATTTTTATTTGAAATAATAAAAGTAATAAAAGCCATCAGAACATTTTCATTTGAATGTTTAATACATAATTTAAATACTATAAAACTATAAAAACTAAAACAATAATTTATCATAAGTAATGTTCACAAACAACTAAATGTATTTGTAAATAATTAGTTAAAACCTAAATATTGAAATAATTTTATAGTCAATTATTTCAAATCAGAGCATGTGAATATTGCTGTCTAGAAATGGACTCAATTAATTCACATATAAATATCTAAAATAAAAATGCCTTCTTAATAATTTTTTTCTACAATGCAAAAATATATACATTTTTACCTCCGATTTGTTATGTCTTTCCAAACAACTATGAAAAAGCCTATTGGAAATATTTACTGACTTTTCAATAGCTGAATATACACTATCTAAATTAGTGTTTGAAATGCATAGAGTAACATACATATCGGGTTTGAATACTTCCATGATATCCATATACCTAAGTATTAAACAATATAATTATTATTAAAATTGTACTAACATTATTAGGTAATTGAAATTTGTTCAATATTTTTAATTTCTCATAAAAAGTAATACCTATTTGTTATCAATTTTCTAATATTGAAGTAATTAAAATATGTGTATGCAATTTTTTTTTTTAATTTACCTTTCATAGGTAATCAGTTGATTTCCAGATTTTGATTTAATAGCAACTTTATCTTTTACATTAAAACCTTGACGAGTTTCTACAGCACAGTCAGTTATTGAGCAACAACAGAAATAATTCTGAAAAATATTTATTATTAATAATTTAGTAAATACTTGATATTTATTTGCACATTTCAGTAGTACCTAAAAGAAAATAACTATCAAGTTCAAAAAACAACAGACAAATATAATGTAAAACACTTACCTCGAATCCGACAAATTTATTCAGACCGAGGTTGTATTCCTTCAAAGTTTCATAAAAGTTTAGATTTGTAGGCAATGGATGATTAAACAAAACCTGATCATTGGGTAAAATTTTGTCAAATACCTCCCGCGATACATATGGCACGCTTCCACTCTAGACAAAAAAAAAAAAAAATAATGAAAATAAATAATAATGCAAAATACCTATGTTAAACTTAACGGCGTATGGTTTCGATCGAACCGTCTAAAAGGAACATCTTTTTTTTACTTTTGTATAAAACATAAACGCTGGAGTATCGATTCGATAATTTGACCGCGTCAAGGTACCCAGTCTCGGTCCGTTCGTATTGTTACAATTCGATGAGACCACCGAAAACCGTATAGGTTCCATATTTTCTAATATCGGTTGGTTTTTGGTTTTAAGGATTTTTATTCTTGACGTACCGACTGCCGATGCTTTTTACAAATCTGATAACCTGACGAATATTCGAATCCGTGTTATCAAGATAATATGTTGCTTATATCATGCGTTTATCAATGTCCACATGTGCTTTACGTTGATAGCAATTTACTGACGAATGCCAGTACGCCGTTATCACTGTTGCCGATACTTCATTATCATCAATGATCAACCGTACCATGTTTAAAGATAATATTATCTTTAACTAATAGTGAAACACAGTATCACACTCACGCAATGTTATCTATTACAGTGCTTTATCAAAGTTTAATAGAATATTGCGACTCTATATCCGTTACAAGTTACAACCGGTAAAAGCTGAGTCCTTGAAGTTATATGATATTTTGATTTAAATCTGGTGTCTAGTAAACGCTAAACGGAATTCTGAATAATAAAATCTATGAATACCGTACAGGTATTTTTCTATGGGTGTAAACAGTAAACGTTACTGAGATTTAAAGTTAGATAGGTACATTTAATTTTAAAACATCAAGTCGTTTTTCTTTTTGATGTTTTCAACATATTCGGTGCATCATATTATATTGTGGCCGTATAATTAACTGTGTCTTTTCAAAATGGTTTACTTACATTTTCCAACAAATTTGACTGAAGAAGAATTGATGTTGCAGAGCAAGTATCAAAAGTTAAGAAAAAAGGTACCCAATATTCGGATACACATTGTTATTCATTTCATTAATTTATATATTTTGTAGAAAAAAGCATTACAAGTACAAAAGACCCCTCGACCAGAACCCGAGCCCTCCCCCGTACTCAATCCTAAACGGCCCAAAGAAACGGCACGTGATGCTAGAGAAATAGCCAAAAAATTATTGAAATCAGGTGCTATAGGACCAATAAAAAAGGTACCAAATCGTACAGACCAAGAATCTTTTAAAAGACCCTGTGGAATGGACCGTAAAATGTTATGTACGCCTCAAACATTGACAAGCTACCAACCATTTTCAGCAGCCGCAAGTGCTACAATGGTCATCAAGACTGAAGTCCCAGATAGTACACCGAAGTCATCTCCCACTACAAAATTTACAGTAATTATATCATTTTCATTATTTTCAATGATAAATAAAAAAATAATACTTAATATGCTTACAGAGTTTATACAACAATTTTGTTTCTTCTACTTCAAAAACTACTCCACCTGCTGCTGCTGCTGCTAGTACTACTCCGAGTTCCCCAGAACCTGCCGCTGAACCGCCTCGTAAAGGTATAACTATATATGTGGGAGGAAGTAGTTCGATGACCGAAGAATTTTTAAAATCCACATTTAGTAAATTTGGCAATATAATTAATATATCAATGGAAGTTGAAAAGAAGTGAGTTTTATAATAATAATAGATAATATTATGGTAATTTTATATTAAAATAGATTTTTCAATGCTGACAATCTATTATGATTTCAATTGTATTGCATTTTAGTCGTGGATTTATCACGTTCAATTCACCAGATATTGCTGACAAAGCAGTAACCCAAGTAAACAATAAATACACTAATTACAATTAACATCAATCACCAATTTCCTTTTTTTTTTTTATCATAGATGAACACTACAACAGTATCTGGTATTAAATTGAAGGTATCCATTTCCCGAAACCAACCAATTGAATTTGCTGATAAAGGACTTACTACATGGAATGCCATTGGTAAGCACTTCATTAATAATTTGTATTTAAGATTCTAACTATTTAATAATAATTAATATTGTGCTTTTTATTGCATAATATAAGAATGAATCTAAACAAATAAATATAAATAGATTTTCAAACTGTATACATCACAATTCAAATAGTTGTCATGTACAAATCTTTTTTTATTATTTTCTGTTATCAATATAATATTAAAAACTCTTTTCACTTAAAGTCCTAAAAGCATAAGTTATTTTTATGTACTTCAATGTCATATGAAATGTTTGAACACCAGATAAGATTTAATAACATATATTATTTCTTGGCGTACAGCCCATTGGCCCATCTTGTTCTTCTTGAATTTAACTAAAATTATTTTTAAAAAATAAGCTTAAAACACATAATACAATTGTATTATGCAGTTTTTATTTGCAACTACCAAAATTTAATTATTATCATGATAGATTTAAATATCAATACAAATACTTTGTTTTTGGTGTACATTTGTTAAAACACATACTTTATAAAGTTTGGTATTTTTCAGCTACCAACAAATCACAAAAAGGAAATCAAAAAGATGACCGGTCATTGATCATATATGATGACTTATTTTCATAAATCGACTTAATTTTTAAAATTTAAAATGTAAGACTTTTTTTCTCAAAGGATTTTTAATTAAAAAATATAATTATTAATAAAGAAAATATTTAATTTTAATTTTATCCTTGTAGTTTGTATAATAATTATAATACTTTAACAGTATATCTAAGAAATATCCTATTGTATGTTAATTAATGATATTAAAACAGTCTCGGCTATTTGTGCTATTAGACTCACAATGATTCCTAAAAATACAATTTGTCCATGACCAAAGTAAATAAAAAATGGTGATAACTGCATACAAAAACCTGAATCTAAATAATAAACAAAACCAAGTAAATCATATGTGTATATGTATTTTATGTAATTAAATCAAATGTTTACCTACACGTTTGAATGGTCAGTAAAATAAATTATTATCAGCAAAAAACATAATACAAATTATGACTTAAAGATAATTTATAATTTAGTTAGAAATATGACTATAATATTATCATCTTAATATTGTATTACTGCTTATATTTTTTTCTTTTTTTTTAATTTTATTAATATATATATATATATTAAATGCTAAAATAGAGGCGCCGACAAACTGTTTAACGTCCGGTATGTATACGCCAACTACTAAAATTCTTAAATGTTATAAGTGTACCCAATAACAGTAATATTGTCGCGTTCTAACTTAACGTAACCTAGAGAATCTACACGTTGAGCGTCGAGAACAGCGATAGTTCAAATTCAACCCTGTAAAAATATAATTTGAAATTTGAAATTATTAATCTTATGTTCGCGGCCAATGGCTGTAGAAGAAACACTATAAAATAATGATGACAACTGACAAGAAATAGTATGATAAAACTTATTATTTAATAAATTCTGGATAACGAAAACGGTAAAACATAATTTGTGGTATTTTGTTGACCCCGACGAACGCATTTCTCTCGACTAAAACGATTAATTAAAAATATAGAAATGCAATAAAATAAATAAAATTCGGTAATAGAGAGACAATAACAATTATTTTATAATATTATTATTATACGGAGAGTCGAGCTACTGATTGGCGGGTGGAAACTGAAAGTCCCAGTGATGGTGATGTATGGTCTTCTCGTTGCCGAAACCCAAAATGAGCAGGCCTGCGAGTATGATGCTCAGAAAGCACAGGGCGGCCTGCAAGTCGCGCCGTTTCTCCGTGTCCTCCGGCACCACTTGTTGGACCACTTTGTTGAACAGACTGCACACGTTCGAATGACACAACCGGAACAACTGGCAACTGAGTTCGGTGATGGACGGGTCGGCTGCGGCGGCGGACAGGTCCACGGCGGCTGCGGCCGCCGCTGCTGTTGCTACGGCGTCCTCGGATCGGGACGACGTACGTGCCGCCCGTTGGTCACTCGCGGGGGGTCTGCTGCGTCGCCGCGGAGGCGTGGGGGCGGCCAACACGCTGGCCCGGTCCTCATCTGAGTCTACTTCCGGGTACATGGAAGACACGCGTGAAGACTGCACCGACGCGTTGTCATCCTGCAACTGTGGCTGCAGTGCTGAATCGCAAGCAGCTCGTAATTGCAGAGCCGCCTTCTGGACGGATTGCTGCTCGTCGTCGTCGACGCCCAGCATTCGTTGGCCCCGAGCGTCGGCCACGATAATTTTGCCTACCCGGAGTTCGTTGACGCTGATCCGTTGTGCGCACATGACCGGGCCACCGGCAGCCATCATGTCAGCAGGCATCACGGCGTAACCGTTTTCCAAGGTTGCCGCCGAATTTCTGGATGTTGGGCGGTCCGCGTATTCGGTGCCCGTCGACATCCGTGACGTCGGTCGGTCGGCCGCCGATAGAGCCGCCCTAGAAGCGGGCTGGTCAGCAGCGGCGGTCGACGACGCCCTGGATTCCGGTCTTGCCGACCCGGTCGAACAGCACGAACCAACGTCGTCTATTTCAAAACCGTCCGGCAACGGATCGGTCTGGACACCAACGGACACGTCGTCAACGTTGACGTTAGTAGTTTTTGCGGCAGACGCCAGAAGTGCACGAGAAACATCGGCAAAGAATTCATCGTTATTAGATGACGTTACAGATGTCTCTCGCCGATCTAAAAAAGGAACCAGGGCGGAGTCGGTGTTCCGGCGGCGGTGCTGTAGTAGATCGGGAGATTCACAGTTGAGTGGCTTGGACTTGCGAGGTGGCGGAGGCGGTGACGGTAGCGGTCGAAGTTTCATCTTTTCGATTACGTCACCCGAGTATAGCACCTTAGTGGCGGTCGTACCGCCGACCTCGTCCGGAGACGAGGACTGTGTGGCGGTCAACGGATGTCGTTTAATTTCGACATCACCGTCTTCCTCGTCATCATACGCATGTCGTGCAGCGATTTCGGCTGATCGGGACGGCGGTGTTGACGAGCCCGAGCCTACGTCCTCGGCCAAGTCGCCGTATTCGTGTTCGCGGATGGGCAACCGGCGCCGGTGCGGCCTTGACGGGCCCAGGGTGTTGTAGGCACGCGCTGGTCTGGATGGTGGTGGAAGTTTTCCTGCGGTTGGCACCGCCGATTCCCCTTCGTCAGACAATTGTTTCCTATTGTAGCAATACGACCTGGGTATGGTGAAAAAAGCGCCGAATTCTTGGCTCTTAATCACGTCGTAAGACTTTTTGCGCCGATGTCGGACGGGTGATTGTGGCGGCATCAGTAATGAGGCGGACGACGAGGACTTGTCCACCGTCGCGTAGCCGGGCGTCACAGACGGCGGTGGCGGTCGAGGTGGCGTCACTCTTGTCGTCGCCGTCACCGCCGTTGTACTGGGTGCCGTAGACCGTGATCGTTCCTCAACATCCGCGTCCGTCGTCAACGACATTCGTGACCGGCGCAACGGTGGCGATGGAATTCCGCTGCCGCCGGTCGTCCATGACGGTCGGCTTTCCGAAGCGTGCAAAGAAACGTCCCGGTCGGAACCGGCCAACGAAGTTCTGGACCGGCGCAACGGTGCTTTTGGTATTCCGTCACCGCCACTGCCACCTGTACCTGTAAGCCACGACGGTCGGCCATCTGAAGTCAAAGAAACGTCCCGGTCGGAACCGGCCAACGAAGTCCTGGACCGGCGCAACGGCGCCTTCGGCACGGTCTCCGAAAAGTTCATCGTCGGCAGGAAACCCTGTGCGGATATGAAAAAAATAATGTTCACGTGATTAAGAAATTAAAATAATGTCATCATTTTTGATCCCAGAGAAGAGATTACTAAATAGAATTGGCTTGAGATTAGAATCAAAAGTCAGAGAATGATGCACGGAGAGTCAGCAAAATCGAAATAAATGGCTCTTGCAAAATTTTATGCCGCGTAATAAAAATCATATTTTTAACGTTGGAGAACGACCGTGAACAGATTTTATGTATAATAGATGTTTAAAACATTTTTTTTTTTTTTTTTATTTCTGACAAAGTCAGTTTTATCACGTACAACTTATATTAAATAAGAAGATTATCGCTAACAAAATGTTTAAAATATAATAATTAAAACAAATTTTTTTTTTTTTTATAAAAAATATTTGTTAATTTCCTACTTATGAGGCTTACGAAATAAAATAAATAGTAATAATCATTAAAGTGGCCCATTCCCTATAAAACTATCGATGATCCTTGATGAACGTTTTATCTTTACTCGGTTATGTTTAGGTTAGAAACTTGCAGTAATCGTCGATCGAGTGAAATGCGAAACACGCATCAAAAACCATTAAACCGGTTCAACCAATTTCGATCTTTTACGGTTTTCGTAACCGGTTTGATGCCATAAAGAAAACTAAACGTTTGTATCGGTAACTTTTTGTTTTTTTTTTTTCATATTTATAATTTTCGTTATAGTAGGTAACTAATGAGAAAATTAAATTTAAAAAACTCATTTAGAGATTTAAAAATATGGAACCTTTAAAATTGGTCTCCCGGAGGAAGATCGGGCAGCTATAGTACTAATATTGTAATATACACTTACGCTCTGTGACTGGCTCCTCTTCCTTGACAAATCAATCATTGACCGTGTGTCGAACGTGGAAAACTTGGACATCCGCAGCCTGCTCGGCGGTTTGGGCGGCATGTGCGTGACCACGTTATTATCTTTTTGGGCCGTTCTCCAGGGCGCCCTGAACGTGGACGGCAGCGTGGCTCCACTGCTCGCCGGTTCGAAAGTCTGGCTGGTAATAATGTTTTCCAGCGGCGCGTCGAGTTCCGGTTTCGGCCTGCTGCCTCCAAATGATTTCGGCATCGTGCTGAACCGGTCCGCGAGAGGTGCACTGTCAGTCGCGCTCTGAGCGCGGCCAGGTCTTCTCAGCGAATTGGTCCGCGACGGTCTCACCGGCGTACTGATACCGTTACCGCGGTTGTCACTATTATCATCGTTGTTTTCGCCTTCCACCGACCGCGTTCTGTTCGATCGGAACACGTCTCTGATCTCCGATGACAGGTAATTACTGATGTGCACATCACCGCGGCTCAGGCCCTTTTCGCGCAAAAAGAACTCGTCCGAGTCGATTTCCTCGATCACGCCCGCCGCCCTATACTCGGACACGCTTTTTGTGTAGTCCTTTGACCGACAGTCGTCGCTCAACGATATCACCTCTTGCAGGTCGCTGTCCCCAAACTCGGCCAGCGACTCTTTAGACACGTGCGACTCGTCTAGTTCCTCTTCAACGGCCAGCGTAGCCGTCTGCTCCTCCGTCGGCGCCGGCGTCGACTCCTTAGTGTGTGACCGGAAGAACCGCCGGCGAAAAGAATTCCCCCTCGACTTGTTTTGTGGTTTTGGTGAGTCGCTCACCTTGGACGTCATCGTTGTCGGCGGCTGAGGAGGTGGAGGCGTTTTCGATTTGTTCGCTGATTCAGCCGTTTTGCCGCGTTTGGAGAATATTCTCGGGTACGTGCCAAAGTCCATGAACTTAGTCTTCGGGCTATCCGGTTTCGATATCTTAGACGCGTCGGACCACGTGCGTGATCGTAAACTCGGTATGGATAGCCGAGACGCGCCGATTTTCGCCGATTTCGAAGGTTTCGGCGATTCGGACGAAGTCTTTGAGAACCCGAAACGCGGCAGCGAGAATCGGCCGGTTTTCGTTTCATCAGCGGTACTGCCCCCAGACTGGTCGGCGTCCGTGGCCGGCGAGTTTCGCGAAATATTGCGGTTGAAGGCTTTCGAAAAGTTCACCTTTGGCGCGTTGAACGTGAACTTTTTCGGCAGTGTCGCAAACTGACCGAATTTACGGCGGCTCTTTTCGCCGTTCTCGCCGTCAACCACGATTTTTTGTTTAGGCTTTCGTTTAGTCACCCCTTGTAACTTGGTGCGCAGCGTGTCCGCCTTCACTTTGACCTTTTGCTGGAACAACTTAATGCGCGTCGTTGCGCCGTTACCCGTATCTATCGGTTCGCCGACGGACGAATTTTCGTTTTCACCCTCGTAAATCGATTCGTCGGTAGTGACTTGCTTTGCATGTTTTATACCATCGTCATCCTCGTCCTCGTCCTCTTCGTCTTCTTCGGAAAGCCTCTTTTCCTCGGCCTCCGGTTCCGAGCCCGTGTCGTCGGCCATCACGAGTTCCTCCGTCAGCGGTATGCGTATGACGAGACGGCTCTCGTCTTTGGACGTTTTTTTTGGATGTTTGGCTGGCGACGATATCCGGTCGGTACTTGCGGCCGGCGTGACGGGCTCGTACACGTGATCCCTGAAACATTGTAAATTTGTAACTGAACGGTATATCAGAACGATGGTAATGTGAATAGTAAATTTTGGAACGGGTTCACGATGACGGACCGTGGCGTCCGGACGGAGCGTACCGGAAAAAAAAAAAAACGACCGTAACAACAGAAGGGTTAAATTTATTTATTATTTGGCGACAGCGGAGACACGGAGATTCCGACATGCCAAGAATCCTCGCGTGAGAGAGCGAAAATTTATTTTTAGGCGTCCGTCGGTCGGGCCGGAGCTAAAAGTAGACGTATACAACCGCAGCGGCGGTTTGGATCCGGCTTGTTGTACCTACACACACATACACACACACCAGCAGTCGATTTATAATATTACACTGCAGTTCCAAAGATCTTTTTCGTTCTCATATCCGTTCGCGACAATAGCTGACGGATACGTTTTATATTATAAAACGTAGAAAACGTAATAATATTATTCACGTCACGCGCTGTTTATCGATGCGCGATGAGTATTATTATAGGTACGATATTATTAATTGTTTATCTGCGTTATAAGCGTATGCACTGAACCATTACTATCCGTAATTTACCTGACGATAATAATAATAGGTCGAATAAAAAATTGAAAACAAAAACACCAGCGCTAAAATCAGAATAAAATTAAAAAAATAACGGTGAGATTTCAATAATCCGAATAATCGATATCGATGCGATATGTTTTTATTAATCGCTATGCATATTAAAACGTTTGTCAATTATACGTAAGCCCGCATGAGTTAGAATTTGTATCTTTTTGTCACGCGTATTTTTTTTTTATTTTTTTTTGTAGTTACTCACCCCATTTCTGCGTTGACGCGTCCTATTATAATTTCGCGTGTCGGTTACGGTTTTTTTCCGAAATCCAACAATGCGGTTGTTCGCATTTCTCCGGACGAGGAAATGTGTTTTTATTTAACGTGCCGGCCGGCGACGACAGTTAACGCGGGTTCTCAGGTCGGTTATAATGCTAAGTCAGAAGACGCGCGTCCGCAAATGACTTCCGGGCTACCATCGAGTGCGGTTTCGACTGATGACATTCCCCGGTTTCGAGACGTCGCCACGCGCCGCGCGCGCACAATCGAGCTCGATTATTCGAACGGCGGTGGAAAAATCGAAGAAATTTTCATAACAGTTGCCAAAATGTGTTTTGGCCGTCGGGAATATTCGGAATATTTAGACGTGCGCTATCGCTTTGCTTTTTTTTTTTCTCTTTCGTATTTTTCACTTGCTCGTTCCGACCGCTGCGACGAGCGCGCTTTAATATATTTTTTTTAGATTATATAACCTTCCGGCCAATAGCCGCGAGATTATTGTCGTTTTATAAAGCCGTTAAAAAAAAAAAAACCGCGGCAGCAAAGCGCTGCAGGTAAGTATGAACGGTGCACACAATCGGGTGTCGTTGCACCCGATCTTTTAAATGCTGAAATTCTATTATTAAATTAACGTCTATCGGCTTGTTACGCGCAAGCGATTACTGCGATATTCGATTGGCGCGATCGATGAGTTTGTATATTGCGGACAAATTTATTATTAAAACACACGTCTCCTATAATAATTTATTGAACATGGAAGTGACAACGGAAAAATAACTTCCGATTATTGGGCACGAGGGGGGGGGGAGAGAAACGGAAATAAAACCTCCGTCACTGAATAATATACATGCGCGACCAAATTTAAAAATAACGTTTTGTTTTTATACAAAAAACCAAACAAATTTACAATAATGCGAACCGTGTGCACACTGATTCGTGATCGAATTTATTGTATACTCGATGTCCTGTTAAAAGTTTGTAATTTTCGTTTTTCATAAAGTTATCTGCGGGTGTGTCGAGTTCGAAACTAACATATTATTAGAGGCGATTAAAAACCTATCAACTCTAAAAATACAAAAAAAATAATTTTTAGTTTTATTTTAAATTATTAATGTTTTAGTTCTCTCGATTTCATTTGCGATTAATTCTATGCAAAACTGCAAGGAGTGACTGCATTTTTCCAAGCATGACCTAAGGGCCACGGATAAAAAGAGTAAAATGGTCCGCTGTGTCATCATTATAAAAATTTGAAAATTGCATAAAGTGCTCGTTTAAATCAGTTTTTACTAAAATCTCTTTAGTACATAAATCATATAATTTTGACCAACTTTAAATTAAAGAAAGAAATATACGAAAGCGAACAAAATTAAAATAATTGCCATAGGTATTTGATATGTATAAAATAACCACGTAAACGGTATACAAAGCATAAATCATACAAAGAAGGCCCACTTTCAAGTTTCGTCATGTGATCACCGTGTCGTGACATTTTGAAAAAGATTTATTTCGGAAAACCGAATAAAAAGAAACAATAATCTGTAACGAATTTAATTTAAAAAAAACTAAAACCAAGCATCAAACGTACTTTAACGGGTCGACAGCAAGATTGACGGTGTACTTGCCTTTCATGCTTGACAAAAGTCTTTTCGTCGAACGGCGGCTTGTTGAGGTGGGTCCACGGATATCCTCCTACCGACCGCTTTCTTCTGACCTCTTCCCAGTGATAGGTGGCCGGTGGAACGGGTGGGGCTTCCGGTGACATCGATCTGTCCGGAGTGGATCTGCCCGGCGTGGATCTGCCCGGCGTAGATCTGCCCGGCGTGGATCTGCCCGGCGTGGATCTACCCGACGTGGACCGGCCCGAAGTGGACTTTCCCGGAGTCGATAATCTGGACGTCGACCTTCTGGACGTCGAACTGTCCAACGTTGAATAATCCGGTTCATCTTTGGTTCGTGAATCTAATAATATCGATTTCAATAATATTTGACGTAAGTACTCAAATACGAAAAAATCAAATCCGTATAAGCAATTTTGTATCACTTATATAATAATAAATAATTCAAATCATTAAAAACTAATCTAACCTATAGTTATAAATTTTATTTTATTTTTTGATTCGATATCATAAAAGCGCGATGGCTAACACGGACGGATTGTACACATTTTTAAGCGATATTGTCGATCATTTTAAAAATTATATTCTTATATCGATTATAGGGTTTTCGGGGGTCTTCATTTTTAATACCACTAACAGAATTTGAAAAAAACTCGTAAATTTCCTATTTTATCATCTCCACGGCGACGATCAAACTTAAAAGCTAATCCTTTGGAAATCGATTTTCGAGGTTAAAATAATATACCGGTTGTAAAAACAGAAGTTCTTGATTTAGATTGTCTACAAAAAATTACAAAAACAATCATCTAAATAACGATTAAAATGTAATTTTTACGTTTTTGCGTGAATATAAAAAATATCGAAACACAATGATCATAATGAAAACTATAAATATATTATACTATTTTTTTTTATTTTTGTACCGACCTGGTTCCTCCATTTTTGCCGATAAACGCGTAGCGCACTGTACGCGTCTGCACGAGCGACTGCTGCAGGTACTATAATAATAATATTCTGACCGGACTAATGTGGACTGTCATTCACGAGCGGTTTTCCAATTTTACAAACGTGGTCCGACGGTGTTTTCCTGCCGGTTTCCGAAATCGTTTATATTTATAAAAAAAAAAAAAAAAAGATTATTACGCGTATTTATATATATCTACCTTTATTTTATTTCCGCGGACGTCGCCCCGCAGACGAAAATTAGACGATCTCGCGCACCGGAGACGGAAAACCGTTTGCGATGTGTGTATATGTATAGTTACCTACACACACGCCCGTCAACTTTTACGCGAGCCTCGTCCGTATATACGTATACAATATTATTATGTTTAACGTGTTTGGACGGTGTCCAAGATCGCCAATTAAAAATAAACTCGACCCTTGTCATATTGGAGCCGCGGTCCACATCATTCACTTTTATCGTTTTTCTCCCGAAGAATACGCAGGGTGATCAACGTAACACGTAAGACACTCCCCGTTATCTCAGAGAGTATTATCTTTTTTTTATTGGAATTTGATATTTAGAAAGTTTAACAAACAAGTAGCTCCAAAATGTATACATATTCTCCTTCTTTCTTTTTAAGAAGTAACGGCCTTTAAGAACAACCCTTCAAGTAAATACTCCTCTGTCTATATCTATCCTCCACTACATCTTTCCATGGTATTCCAGGTTTCACCTACCCTACATCCACACACACAACACAATTCTCCCATAAGTGACATATTTCAATAGTGGTCGTTTTCCCGTTAAGATGTCTATTTATCAAATTACAAATGATTTTTATTACTTTTTAGTGATTAAATTTTTAGTTTCAGAAAAGGGAATTTTTTCAATTTCGATATATATTTGATAATTATTTTTTACCTTTTAACGACAACTTTAACGCTAACACTTTTTCATCAATCTACTGTCTGATAAATATATTTAAGGATACGACCGCTTTTACGGACTTTAAATTAAAAATACTAATTAAAAAAAATATATATATATATTATTACATCGTAGTATTTGATTACAATTATTTTACTAAGAAAATATCTGATTTATAATCTATGCATAAAAAATACACCCTTGTACTCTTGTTGTTGTTAGTTGTCAACGGCTTTAATTCGGAAAAAGATGCTGTTAATACTACGTTGGATCAATTAAACAATGCTAAGAAAAAATTAATGGCATCTTTGATATGTTAAATAATCGGAATCTTAAAGCCAAGTTAATTATTATATTATTTACTTGTACACATTAAAATCTGTAGAAAAAACTTCAGCAAAATACGCTGCCGATTTATTAATGTTATGTTGATTACTTAAAATAAAAATTGTATTTCTTAAATATAGATTAACGGAATTAGAGACATAATTATTGATATTGATAATAAGTGTTTACTATGCTTAGCAGGTCATATAGTCAAGAACCGGATAAGCGTTGAGTTAAATACCCATACGTTATACTTACAATTTTTCAACTCGTTAAACATCGAAAATTTAAATGCATTAATATTTATTTTATTTTCATTCTTTTGAAACAATAACGGGTCCCACTGAACATACTCGTGTGTGAGAGCCCATGAGATCTTAATCTAATTTAATTATGTATCCAATGTAATCCATAATAATATATTAATCTATTATATAGAATTATAGATATCTGGTTTTAGATTCTGAACAGAGCGAGAAATATATTAAAAATAATTAAATTTGTATTGGTATATGGTATAAATTTATTTAAAACACAAAAGTGCAATACGACTACATTACAACTCGATTAATAGCTTATCGTTTTCTTTAAGGCATCGCGTATTTATCTGGTACAATCTGGATAAATTAATTTTTTTTTCTTTTAGGAGGAAATCAAAATAAATTTTATCCAATTTTCTGACAATACTATTAAGTTTACAAAAAAAGAAAAAATGCCTTAAAAACCTAAAAATGCTCTTCATATGTCAAAAAATTGCTTTAAAAAAAAAGTTCTAAAAATCAAAAAAAAATGCAAAATAAAAGTTTTATATTTTAATTCTTTGATAAATGAAACGAATCTTGTGTTCGAAAACATTGATTTAGGGCATTCAGAAAAAATACAATTTGCTTTATATTCCACACCCTAATGATGACGAAAACTTTGTCTTTATAACCCAACTATATATGTAAAAAATTCATTTATTTTTGGACAGTCATTTGAATAATAGTAGTATAGTAGTAGTAACTCCACCCCCCCCCCCAAAAAAAAAAAAAAAAAGAAGACGAAAACTAACGTAATTATAATATTTCAGAGCTGCTTGTTTTTTAAAATGTCTACAAAACAAATTCTGAAAAAAAAGGTAGGTAATACCTTCTGAGTTAATGAGTCTTTTACGTTGTGTTGTTCACTATGTATACTATTAGCTATATAATATACCAAGCAAATACAAAAATCCGCGGTAAACACTTATTGTATCATTTTTAATTTTTTTTTTAAATCACAACATAATTTTTATTATGGTTCTACAACGGTCGAATATTATTATTTATCGACAAACTTTGTTCCGGTTTTTTTAGATTCTGAACGGAACGAGAAATGTATTGATTTTACAATGGTGTTTATTTATTATTATTTTTTTTTTTTATGTAAACACTTTTTCTACCAATTAACTCCAATGATCAAATATAGCACTTTTTCTAAAAGGTATAAAAAGATTTATTTAAGTTTTATTTAATTTTTGTTAATATTAAGTTTCTATTATTTTAAATCTTTTTTAAACAATCATTGTTATCATGGAAACCCACACTATTGTAATCATTTTACCATAATATGACATATATATCGTTGACAAAGCAACACTATCAATTGAATTACGTTCAGAATCGTTTTTTCGTTAGCAATGGTTTATCGTTGCTTACAGATATATATTAAATTCCCGTCTGCATCCCACCTTCCCAACTACAACAGAGGCAGCACCCACGCGCGAAGTTTGTCCGTCCTTTTTTTATTTTAATTTTTTTTTTTTTTTTTAAACATACCGTGGTAGTTTTCCTAAAGTCTATAATATTATATAGTAGGTAGGTGCCTAGGTGATAACTGCAGTTTCCGGTCGATGATCCGCGTATATAATTAATATTGTATCGAGCAGGTAGATACCTACACGATTGTTATTATATTCAATAAACAACAATATCATTATAATGTATCAATCAACTTACCTACATACATACGTTATAGATAATATTGAATTATATTACATATATATATACGCGTATGTGTAGGATGCATTTACGTTTTGTGTATATACACAGGAATAGATAGTACAGTATATAATATGCATATACACATCATACACGTACACATGTTATATATTGTCGCATATATATAAATATCTCGAGACCAGATGAATTACATATAACAGTAATAATATAATATAACGTCTACGTATATAAGAAAAGTGGGTATAGAAATAATAATAATAATAATAATAATAATAATAATAATAATAATAATAATAATAATAGTAATAATAATAATAATAATCATAAATATTTATAATATAACTAACATTGTTTTTAGGGCAATCGGTTTTCGTTATTTCAAAAAAAATCCAATCGTATTTTAAAATTTTAAAATTTTGCTTAAATCAATAAATTAGTTGGGTATGGAATAATCGAAAAGTTAGCGATGAAACTATTTTGAGTTACAGACTCCTGTAAGTAAGTATATATTATTGTATAAAATGATAAGACCTGCATCAGCTGAAGAGAACTCAACATATGTGCGAAGTTTCACCTATTAAACAACATGTTTTTATTGGTTTGATTTTTTTTTTTGAGACTTTAATTTAAGCCCAGGACAGATATTATAAAAAAGCTGATAAAATTACTAGGTAAGTCACTGTTTCTGGTGGGATGTTGGAAGAGTACATATATAACTATAGTTTATTCTACTTTTCCTACATCAACGATAAACCATTGCTGATGGAAAACGATTCCGAGCAGAGTATCCCTGAGTAAGTGTACTTCAAGTAAGATAAAAATCAATAAAATGTATATAAAGATTTACCAGTATTGACCATTTATAAAGAAAACTATAAGGGAAATCAACAAATGATTGCCCTCAATGAACCAATATCAAAAATCCTAATATGAGAATTCGTATAAAGGTTTTGGTTGGAATACGATTTTTGATAGAAATGATGTTTACAGACACACTAAAATACACACATATACCATAGTAAAATAAATGCAATTCTTGCACCACCACTCAGAATTTAAAAAGTATATACCTTATAATTTATCGTTTTAAGCAATGGAAAAAAAAAAAAAATAATAACTAAAATGACAGGATACAGTATATTGTTTCGTTATAAACCGAGTACCCACGCATCATGATAATATATAAATAGATAAATGAATGATGTTATATATAAAAAATACTGTACTTTATTTCGCTAACAAGTCGTATATTATATTATATAATAATGTAATATTTAAGAGATTTTTTTTTTCGTAGTACAAAATGGAAGATTTGGAAATATTGATTTTTATTAATATTTTAGAAAAAATTAAACTATTTATTAGAAAGTTTTTGTTTTTGTTTTTTTTTTTTTTTTTTTTTTTTTTTTTTTTTGTTTTTTTTTTTTTTAAGTGTTACAGGTCTTTTCAAATTTATAACAACAGTAAATATTGGTATACATAAAACTTACAACAATAATTTAAAATATCGTATAGTTTGGTGATACACATACATATATAATATTATATTTTATGGCCGAAATATAATATTATATAGTAATGTTATAATAACCTTTTGATTAAACCATAATAACACGTTATTTTTTTTCAAAGATTCAAAGTTTCAAATTTATATTACGACAACAATGACGACGAAATTTTAAAATATATAGTTTAACAGAATACAATAATATAATATAATACGATGAGAAAATAATAAAATATAAGCCGTTAAATAGGGCCCTCCTATTATATTATATGAATAAAGAAAAAAAACGAATTAATCAAATCGATAACCAGTAATATACATAATATTCATATATCTTTTGTCCCGTTGAATACACCAATTTTTTGGAGTTATCATTTTCTTATCAAAATGTAACACGCTATTTTATTGAAAACTTCCAGAAAATCGAATAGCCTGATATTCCGCGGGACAAAAGCTATATTACAGAAAGACTTCCGTACAACGGTCACCGAAGGGACCGGAAATGACGACCGCTGTTTAGAGGCGACCGTCCTTTAGAGGTGTGTCCTACAGAGGCATAACACTTGACGGGACCGAAAAAAAAAAAAAAAAAAAAAAAAAAATGACCGTTACACGACAGAGGTGGCCGTTAACGGAAGTTTTACTGTATACAATGTACGCATGCATATACATATAATGTAATAATTTATTATATATGTATACATTTAATCTATGCTGCACCGCTAGATATAGTTTTATAATATTGTACGAACCGACCGGCAGTAATAATAATTACACGTAGGAGATTAGAATATAATATTAACGGCGACGACGGTGACGGCGGTAAGTTGTGAGTATAGACGCGATGCGAGTACGGCGCCCTCTTAACGGGATCTTAAATACCATCGCCGGCTATTGGCCCGCGGGGATTTATGATCATATTACATTTAACATACATGTATATACGCTACATACTATATAATATTATAATCGAAATAACAACAATAAATAAATAATAATAATCATTTTTTTTTTTTTTCTATACTGGAAGAAGTTGACGATGTCCGCGCCATCTAGCTGCTGCAACTGTTGTCGCTGCGGTGCGGGCGATACAGGTGCAGCATTTACGGTGGCGGCGGTGGCGGTAGAGGTTCATTCGAAATTTTCAAAATGCGACAAAACGTCCAGATGTTTGGCCAAGTCCCGAACGTATTTCTTCAGAGAGATCTCGTCCAAAAAGCTGGCCAACGGCAAAGGCGGTTGGCACCGCGGAAGATATTGTTCTCCCTGTATTACGTAGAACAACAAAATTAACAGCGCACAAACAATATATTCCTTTTGATTCGATACAAAATAATATGTACTTTTATTATATTATATTGTTACTAGACGAGGAAAATGTTTTTTAAAAAGGTGATAATGGTCATGAATAAGTCACTTTCGTGTTGAATATATCAGGAAGATGGGATATAAAAGATAATATTTTCTTTATATATGGCTTTTAATAATTTTTTTAAGTTCAGAGAAAAGAAGTTTACATTAAATTAATCGTAATCAGATTACAGCCTGCTGCATATAATTTTAGCCACTTTTCTATGAACTTTAAAAAATTATCAAAAATTTGATCGAATTTATTGAATATAAAATATCGATGTATCAAATTTTCAAAAAAATAAACTCTATAAAATGTCTATTTAAATTTTTTTTTTTTATATAAAAAGTTATTTTTTTAAATATTTTACCAAAACATAAAAATCAATTGAAATATAATGGCCCTTATTTCTGTGATTATAAAAAAAATATCATAATTTGATTATCTTTATGATCTCCGGATATATTACAATAAGTATATATTCTTGGGACACCCTGTATACTGTAAGAAATTATAAATCATTACAATTAAATAACAATCGAAAATCGATAAACTGTGGTAAGATTATAATTTAAGTCTTGTTTTACTTTACAACCAAGGCCATCATTTGAGGGATTCAGACTATAATTTGGCAGCCCTATTTTTTGTTAATATGTTTTTGACTAGCATAAAATGTTATTTATTTGCACTGTCGTCGATTAAATATAGAAAGAAATACAAATCAGAAACATTTCTTTACAGTAGTTGAACATTGAAATGTAAAGTGGGAATTTGAGCGATTGAAGCAATCGAAAATTTGTTTTTTTTCCGTGAAATAAACAAGATATAAATGGCCCGATGAAGGAAAAAATTGACCCGATTAAAATTATTGTATCCCCATTGAAAAACTGAAATGATGCCTGCCAGACTACCTCTTAGAAATCAACATAATACCTATATTAAATCGATATATCAAAAACAATTTAGAATCTAGACACTTTATTTTTCAAATAATTTTTTTTATGAAAAATTCGCATCTTTTAATGTACAATGTACAATAATTTTGGAGCATTAATTATAACTTGTACGTCAGATTCCAAATCTAAAATACAATAATATTATTAGTTAAAAATTGTATGTGACGATGGAATTGTATAGGTTATTGTAAGAGTATAGGTGTTTTAGATATATTTATAATGTTTTAATTTTCACTAAATATTAAAAAAGAAATAATAATTTTATGATCATATACCACCGAGTTCCATAATAATACGAAGATGTAGCAGCACTAATGACGTCGTTAATATAATTATATTTATATGTGTACTGTATTCAAAAATAGATTGTCTTGTTATTATTTTACTATCGCGTAAACGGTTTTTTCACGGTATAAGCGGTTTTTCAGACACTTTTTAATGCCAATAATACCAGTAGCATCATTTGAATATTTTGTAGACTGGAGTGAACTTATCAAATTTGAGACTGATGTGTAGAGGAATTATAATTACCAAAATTGTATCATTTTGTTCGTATATATATCTGTAAGCGCAAAAAGGGCCAATGTCACACATTGTTGGGGAATGACCTTTGAAATTTCAATGCCCCATAAGGCTCTGTGAATTTTAATGAATTTAAATGTTAGTGTAATTTTCAATTTTTATTTAGAAAATAATACATTTTACACTTTTTTTTTTCTGACTAATTTCTGACTAAAAAATAACATTACCCTTCTTGCGCTAAGTTACAGAAATTGTCTTTTGATTAATAGATATTTTAGTTTTTTTAATACACTTAGACAAACATATAGGTTCATATATTTCGTGGCGTTTTTATACCATTTTTTAAAAATAATAAAATCGACGGTAACAGTAGTAAAAATTAATCGGGATATAGAAAAATTGAGAATTTGATCGCGGATTGCCAATATAATATATTATATAATATAATATTATTGATTGATTTACACTATGATTACTATTAACATTAATATAAGTAGCTGCTCACATTAAATGCTCGATGATGACGCAGAACAACATGACAAAAGACGTACCGCAGCAACAATAGCCTTAAAAAATCGTCTCCGAAAAACTGTATGTAAGATACGTCTAAAAAAAATCATAATAATTATTATGCATGTGGTATTATAAATATAATCGTATATAGGATATACATATATATATATATATACATATCAAAATTCGTAATTCATAATACATATTTGTATATATCACCTGGTTTCACTTTGCTGGTAAACAGACGGCTGGCTTCCGTGATAAATCTGTCTACGTACGAATTGGCCCTTTCCCATAAATGCATTTTTACAGTTAGGATATTGCATATGAGACAGAACGCCGTCAGAGGGCTGTGCAAAAACAACGTGAATAAACTTCCGTTGTGCTGTAGTTGTTCTGTTGAAAAATACAAATAAAGTGATATCAACTCACTTACGTTGACAAATGAAATTGTTTTTAGTGTCGTAATGTTATACTAGAAGGTATATTTTTCAGTAATACATTTAATTTAATATCACAGAAATACAAACGAACACTATATAAGGCCATGGTATATCCTATTGTTATTCTATTTCTATTTACATGTCTCCTCTCTCCCCTCTCAAAAAAATTAACAAAATTGTACAATATTCGAGAGAAAAATCCAGCGCTCAATGTTTTGGGGCAAAGAGAGATCAGAACACAGGATAGTATTATGTGAAAGAAGGAAAAATCAAGATGTAACACATATGTCGGGAAAAGAGGATATCATGGCATTATTGAAAAGTAAAAGACAAGTTGAACAGGAATCGTATATTGGGCACAAATAAAAAATATGATTCAAGAAGTAGTAAAAAGAAAACCGAAGAGTAAGATACCACTGGAAACCCAAGACAGAGATTGAGACTTAAACTAGCTGGGAAAAGCAACGAAAAAAGGAAGAGAATTTAGATACATAATATTTGTTTACCGTGAAGTTTATCCGGTAACTCTTGAGGTGACATGAGCACGACAAACGGATGACCAAAGTACCTCGGTATGTATTGAAAAGCAAAACTATTGTCCGAATCGATTATTACAAACAACGGTTTTCTAGTGAACGGATAAAGATCTCCGGGATATAAACTGTGAAATAATAATAATGATAACAATAATTTAATTTTACTTTTTGTTATAAGATGATAATATTTTATTCCGGTCTCACCAATGGATTTCTTTTACGTGAACGCCTTTTTTGTTGGTCAATTCCATTTCTCGTTTGCTACTCGCCATTATTCCTCCACAATCGTAACCCACTTGAAAAAAAAAATATAATTAAAGTCTGTTATAATAATATGTTAACATCGATATAAATTATAACGAAATCACACGAAATATTATACAATTCTAAAATATTAAAATATCTTCAATATAATTGTAAAACCCTGTAATTTATATATTTATAATATTTAGACGTAATATTTAGTGATCATATATTTTAATTTTATACTAACAGTCATTAACGTGTTTTGAGGTTTGGAAACATCCATCTGCCGAGACGTACATGAGCAAAACGCCGTTCGCGGGGAGTTCTTTAAAACCTTCAATAAAAGAAATAATAATAATAATAATAATAAAAAATGTTACAAAATTGATAAAAATGGGGTGAATTAGTGTACGAACCTGTGGCTAAAAACATCATTATTTGAGTAATGGTCGGTTTGTAAAGTATATATTTGTGAGGATTTTCTCGTCTGGAACTATTCACATCGTGATTTGCCATCATCGGATACGCTAAAGTTTTATTACTGGTTATTGAGTAACTTTTCTCCTAAAAAAAAAGCACATTGTTGAACTATTGCTATCCCTATAATTAAAAAAATACTACAAAAAAACAAATTACGGACATAGGTAATTCATAAGATGAGTGGGTCACTATTGTAAGTGAGACGTTGGGAAGATAGGATTTAGAGGGCAATTTAATATGTTTTTGTATGTAACGGTTAATCATTGCTAATGTAAAATGATCCTGAGCGGAGTTCGGTTATACATGTTTTAAAAGGCCATAATATTTACGTCAAAATTTAATATTAAAATTCTTATAAAAAAAAATACTACATTAAACTTAACTTTTTCGTAATGACCACTAAGTACCACTTATAATGAACCTTTTATAAAATGTTCAAGTATTTTAGTTTAGTCTAGCATTTTATTCTCACCGAATAAATATTACATAAAAAATTAAAATGTCTTTAAATAGTTCAATATTTTTATCATGTCTACGAAAGACAAATATAATGTTTTTGTCAAAATAGAAAGTCTCTACGAATATTTTTAACTGAATTACAATAAAAACCAAAAATTAGAAATAATAAAAGCATTGTTTTCGTAAATGTTTCCGTTTTTTCTACGGTTTTTTCCAATTATTTTGAAAACAGCTTGTAAATTAAAAAATGACTACCTTAAAGTACCACCCTAAGGAAATTTAATTTCAGAAAAGGTGGTATACTTGAAAATTGGAGCAAGATTAGAAATCTTGTAGAATTTATGAAAAATAAACATTATTGTAAAACCAATATATCACTTGCTTTGCTCAGAATTTAAAATGTGATCCTCTAATATACAAATAAAAAAAATTGTTACAAAAAGCTTTCTTGTTGATTGGAACAAGATTTCTGGTTGAAAAAATGAATGCCTAAATACAATAAAAAACGCTCAGAATCTAAAAAAANTTTCTTGTTGATTGGAACAAGATTTCTGGTTGAAAAAATGAGTGCCTAAATACAATAAAAAACGCTCAGAATCTAAAAAAAATGTATCTACAAAGAGTAGGTATTATTCATAAATTCCCTAAACGATTGTCTATTAATTTAGTAAACAAATATGTTTGCAGATATTGCAATTCGATATTAATATTATTCTAAATTAATTGTTTTCGAGTTCTTGAACACACGATGGGTATTATAGGTATTCGTGGCGTAATAATATATAGCATTTCGTGATTGGTTATATTCAGTTTAAAATATTATATCAACGAAATAATAACGTGAAAATCGATTTGGACTCACAAACGATGCCCTCGAAGGAGGATCCGATACGTGATTGATTTCGTCTCGATTTTTTTCCCTCTCTAATGTCTGCATCATTCGGAACATGTCTATGGTCATTTCGCTGAATTTAACCTTTATGAATCACAAAAATTAAACAATATTATAATCGGGGAACCACATATTGATTCTAAATATCCAGCCGACTACAAGGTCTCCTACATCACTATATATCACTCCCTCGTATTATACCACCATCAACCGTATCTCCTTTTAGTGTTGCTCTATTATTATAATGCTCCGTCCAATTACATCAATTTGCAAAACCGCTGTTCTCACTGTAACTTCTCACTCAAAAACATCCAATTAATGAGGCTAATATGAGCAGTTACTCTTGAGTAAAACATACTAGGAAAAACGTATAGTTTCGTACTCCCCTCCCCCAATAAAATATAAATAAAACTTTTTTAAATTACGAAAATAAATATTTCATTTATTTATTTAAAAAATTTCAAATTATTCCATTTCCTATTTTATACTGTGACTAATATTGTTTCAAAAAAACAGTCAATACGTTTATCATTCCTGTAGACAAATCAATTTTATGTAAACATAATATACCAGATTGCATAAAAATTATTCCATAAATATTTAAGTAATAATTAACTAATGTTTCGTTAGATCTTTATTCGGTAAATCACTGATTAGTTAATAGTTGCACAAAAATTGTACAATATATTCAAGAAGTATAAACATAAATATCGTCTATCTCATTTAAAATTATTCCGAAACACCCTTGGTTATGGTAAACATACAACAACTTTAAATATAAATTCATCATCACCGTCACTAGTTAATGAATCATAATAAACTACCATAATTAATGCTAAAAGTAATACTAAAGATTACAGCGGTGGATTTAGAAATTGTTTAAAGGGGGGTGAGGAGGTATATTATTTATATTTTTAGTAAATTAACTATAAATTATATATTAAAATTAAATTAATATAAAATATATAAATAAAAACTGTAGTCCAGTGACAGAGGGGCACGTGACCCTATGCTCTCCCCTTGGATGCGCGACTGAATGATTATAATTAATTAAATTAACCGGTTGGTTCGTCAGTAATAAATATAATATTATATTATAATGTTACTATAGACATCGAGATAGATAAACAATATTGTTCATACATAGTTAAGTATCTAAGTGAATTATTGATAAGTGATAAATGATTAATAATAACACACTTTAACGAGTCGCTAACATTAACAGAGCCCAAATCGAGTGATTAACGAATGGACCATTAAGATTAAAATTTGATGATCCGTTAAAATTTACAAAACGTTTATGTCAGTGAAATTTGTGATCTCAGTTTTAATTTATGTCTCTCACTAAATCCTAATCTTCATTTCGAGAAAGCCTGTTCTTAAGCATTGAAAATGTTAGGTTTCTTGAAACGACTTTTAAGGGGCTCTCTATTGTGCCCTCGTTCATCCAATCATTGAATATATGACTCTGTGTTCTGGGATCCCCATACTGCAGTCGCTTGCAGGCAATTAGAATGAGTACAATGCAAATTTCTTAAGCATGCAGCTTTCCTACTCAAAATTGAGCACTCTACATGCGTCTATGACCCTGTTTAGAAGTAGGAATGGTCAATTTGTCATTGGAGAGGAAATTTACCATTCTTATTTTCTAAACTTAATTTTTAGGTATATTCCTTCTCATATTGCCTGTTTAACTAAAAAATGTTCTCTTTCTTTTCAATTTACTAATTCCGGACTTAATGAAACAATTACCCACTTTATGTCTATTACTAATACTAATCCTTCTCTCTTTTGTTTTTAATATTTCTAATAATCTTAATCCAACACTTTCTTTTCTTCAAAAAAATTGTATATTTATGCTTAATTTGTAATTTTTTGTAAATATATTGATGTCGTGGGATTAAATATATTATTATTAATTATATAATAGCCCCCTCTCCCTCCTTCATTTGAAAAATAGTTCTTGAGTCTCTGCATAATGTCACTCATCTCTTATATTATCATCATTTTTCTTGTCATGTTCAAACCATCTCAGTTTGTATTCTTTTTTCTCTTCTTACAATACATATCAACTACAAGTATTAAGTATACAATCGAAACTAATAATCGTTACGAAGGTTTTTTTTTCTAATTATATTTTTCATCTCGTACCTGTTCCGATGCGTTACCGATGAGTATTATTTCTTGCAAGGAAAGATTCATCATCGTAGATTTTTCCACAGGGGGCGTAGTTAGCGGCGTTAACCTGCAGTACAAACGGAGTTGTTAAAAATAAGTCTCTTGTTTATAATGTTGCGTGTGCGTATTACAACATTTACATATAGGAAAACAAATCATGCGTTAACGCTTTTGCATATAGGTACGTTGTATGGTATCGTTTGCGGACAATATTATTGGATACCTACCGTGTTGTCGGCAGGCAATCCAATATACGTGTATAATGATTATATTGCGAGTGTGCACAAATGATAATATCAATAATATATTTAAACGGGTCACACTCCAGATATTTAATGGGTCACGTACATAGGAGTATGGTTATAACGAAACGATAATTGATGGACTCGAAAAATGTTCAAAACCGTTCGATAATTTCAAAAGTGGTCCCGTGTGCGAGTATTTGTTTTGAGTTTACGTACAACGGACAAAAAATTTGTACCTGTAATACTCTTCAAAGAGTAATTTTGCTCGTTAAGTATGAATAATAAATAAGACAATATTACACCCGTGTAAAGCTATGATACGCCAAGTCGTAGAGGTTATTTCTTACTCTAAATGCTGAGATAAAAAGATTATTCAACATGAAATTCGTACGCTGTTCAAACACTTTTATAACACTAAATATTACCTGTGCGAAAGTATGACGCTGCTCTGGTCGGCGTGCAATACATTCACTATGCTGTCGGCCTTTACGAACGTTTTGATTTCTTCCAAAACCAAAGACCATTCCAACTGGTCGTCCGGTTCGTATGTACTTGTGTAGTCTACGATCTGCTTGTCGAGTTCCTGTAATAGATTTTCGTTTTTACGATATTATATTTACTACGCGTACTACACAAGTCAAAATCAACACAAGTGGTAAAGCAAATGAGAGTACTTCACGAGTCGTCAATATAGTTATATATAAACTATACAGGGTATTCCACAAAGATATTAAATATTAGATATTATAAGATGAATATAACCCATTGTAATATCTCCGAAGATAATAAAGATAATCAAATTCTGTTTTTTTTCATTTTATTTTATTATTATTATTATTTTATATATATATATATATTATTCACATGGATAAGGATTACAAATATTTATATTGTAATTAACTTTTTGTTTTGATAAAAACTTCACTTAATAAAAATAACTTTTTATTTTATTATTTTTGAAAAAATTGAAGATAGCCATTTTATAGAGTTAATTCTTCTAAAAATGTTGAGATATTAAAATTTGATTTTCATTTATAATTTTTTAGAAATTAGAGAAAAGTACCTATAATTATGCAGTAGTTTGTAATCGTATTGTGTAATTGATTATTATTATTTGTATGACAATTTACTGTACACTTCTTTTCTCTAAAATTTAACAAATTATTAAAAATCACGAATTTAATGAAAATAAAGAGCTGACATGTCAACATTTTTAGAAAAATAAACTCTGAAAAATGGCTATCTTCACAATTTTCAAAAATAACAAAATAAAGAGTTATTTTTTTTAAAAAATGTTTACCAAAAATTAGTTGCAGTATAAATACTTGTATTCCTTATCCCAGTGAGTAATATAAAAAACCAGAATTTGATTATCTTTATTGTTTCCGAAGATATCTTCGTGGGACATTGTATATAATACAGGTGAATATTGTGTCTTGAGAACTACTGAAATTGGGTAACAAACGAGCATATTATGATACCATGAGAGAATGAAACATGATTATATTTAATAACTTTATCAGGTTGTGAATTTATATATAATAAAAAAAAAAAAAATGCTCTGAAAATCTCGAAAATGCGCTTGAAAGTCGAAACATTAAAAGTATATACACATATATTGTATAATAAAACCATCAATAAATTTTCCGGAGGAGAAAAAACCCATTAAATTAAGGATATATCCGAAACTTTTGTACTGGATATAGCGAGTATTGTACAAAAAAATAAAATAAATTTAAAATTTATTAAAAATGTATACTTATCAAAATACAACAACGAGAATACGACGCGTAATAAATAAATATATTACGTAGAGAGGCGTCGTACATAAAATGAGATCGAAAAGTGTGGGCTGCACGGTATCCCGAAAATTCTATCGCCGTCTCAAAAAATACGAGCTCGTCGACCTTTGAATCAGACGGTTCGTATGTAGTGTACAGTAAAGCAATTCAATATTATTACGGTCTATCGATTATTTTTTTTATTTTTCATATTAATTATATATGGGGGGAGGGTCGGGTAGCGCAAGATATATTGTGTCACCTGCACGTATTTATGTACATATGATTCGAATATAATAGTAATGTTATTATGTCGACACATTTCATACATTGTACAACGGAATTTGATACGATATCGATTTATATGATGATGATGTATAAAAGCCTATACGATGTGTTATATTGTTGTTTTTTTTTTTATGTTATTTGAAACATTTTTACACCACAGAGATTTAAAATCAACATATTGACCTATATACAATACTATAGCATACACTATATATGTATGTTATTTTTATTGGATTTTTTAAAAATGCAAATTACTTAATTTAAACACGTGCGTATACTGTCGTGAACCTTTTTACGCGGAAACACAATATTGCAATTATTTCAATAAATTAAAATTAACCGTCGCTTATGAAATTCAACGCCTAGTCCCCGGTGTCTCGACTCTTCAAGACTTTTTAAACAGTTTATTTGTAACAGATTTCTTAATTTTCGCATTTATTAAAAAATTAAACAATTACACGATTTATGGTAAACCTGTTACCATGGAAATCGCGATACTCTAGTTGACTAAACATTTCGGGATATAGCAGCTGTAATCATGTTTACAATTATACATGTAAGTTAGTTGTTTTCTTCATCAATAAATTCACCGAGTAATTTCCCTCAAATTTCGAAATTTCAAAAAAAAAGTGTCCGGCCAACTCAAATTTCGGGTGTTGCATTTAAAAAGGATGCTTACACGTGCATTCTGTCTTCGTTTTACAAACGCAAGACGTAAAAAATTTGCGTTCAACAGAACTAATTTTGGGCTATTCGTTTTAATATTCATATGATCAACTGAAAGGCACTTTTTTCATTATTTTAGTTGTCAAGCGAGATGTGTAAAATATCACAATTTAAAAGTAATGTCATCTCGCTTGAAAATTAAAATTTGAGAGAAAAAAACCCCATGCAAATGCATATGTGTAGCGGCCTCCCCCAAGCGTTAATCTAATGGAAATTCGACCCGTTGTGTTGTATATTTAAATTTATATTAGCATACATAAAAGTTAATAATAATAATAAATAATATCGTTGTAAAAACTCACGGCCAACAATTCCCGGATGGCTCCGACTCTCCTCAGCAACAGACACACCACAATAAACCTAGCATAATACCTCAGTTTCTTTACCATTAGATCGGATCTGAAAGTAAATAATAATAATAATATTAAGTACAATAAACTCGCGTGTGTTCGGGTATTATTTTCAGGAACGAAAAGGGCAGTGTCAACGTTATACAAATTCGTTAATTTATGGGCTTACGATAAAAAAAATGCTATTATTATAAAACATTCTTTTATCCAAACGTACTTAAACCTTTATCAATTATGTATTATTCATCTTTTGTTCTAGGATTTACGTCAACGCCATCACTTTTCAGCAAGATACAGAAAGTCAAAAAGTCGAAAAAGCACTATCCAATAAAATATACACTAAAAACTCTGTCCTGAATAATTGCGAAACCCCATACATATGTATGTATAAATGTATAATGAATGTATACATATATCACTATTTTATCAGGAGCCGACAAATTAAATTATTTACTTCCAACACTATCAAAGTAAAAATTAACAGCGGTACACACATATACTCACGAATACTTGACGATTGCAATGTTTTCATAATACACCCTCTCGAGAAACATTTAAAAATAAAATCATCGTCAATCAACTTTAGCCGACAGCCAACTCGACTTTATTGAAACAACCGTTTTACAAACGAAAGATATTATCATACACCATTCGTAAAAAAAAAATATTAATAATGTGTATTATTATGAGTACGCACTGCACTTAAATAATTTATACAGCCACTACACGTTAAGTTGTATTAAAAAAAAAAAATCAATACTATTATTTAAAACGTTTATTATATAATACAGTAAATAAATTACACGTGCGTGGATTGAAATCGCAACAACAATTCTTGCGCAAAAAGAATATTTTTTTTTCGGTTGATTATTAAAAATATACGGACATACTTCGCACGATGGGTGAGCCACTGTTATAGGTGGGAAGTTTGGAAGTTAAGATAAAGAGGGGGATTTAATATACATCTATACGCAACAATTAATCATTACTAACGAAAAATAATTCTAAGCAGAGTTCGGTTATAAATGTTTTGAAAAGCTGTAATATTTACAACTTAAAATTAATACATTTCGTAAATTTTTCCGTTTTTCTACGTTGTTCCCATTTAAAACCTCTGAGAAAATCAAAAAATGACATCCTTGAAGTACCATTTAGTCAAATTTTATTTCAGAAAAAGTGCTACACTTGAAAATCGGAGCAAAATTTCTGAGAAAAATAGAAAAGTTGTTCACAGATGAAAAAATAAATAAAAAAATAAACACCATTGTAAAAACAATACATTCCTTGCTCCGCAAAAATCTAAAAATATGTATTACACAATTTATTTCTTTAGATGAGGCTAAATTAAGGTCCATACTAATTACTTGCTGATCTAATAATAATAGTAATAATAATAATAATAATTTTCTTGTTGGTGACAACCAAATTGTCATCTGTCACCAAGGTAACCCATGAATAAACAAAAATAAATAATTAAACAATTAGATATTCGTACCAAAATTACACGAAAACCTAATAATTACAATTTTTGTAAGGATCTCTCATTTATTTTAAAATAAAATACAGCCTATGTTACTCGCTGTTAATGTAATTTTGTATAGGTCAAAGAAGTTTTAAAACCAGTTAAGTAGTTTTTGAGCTTATCCTTACAAAACAAATCTTTTCTTTTTTTAATAATATTATTAGTATAGATTTAAATGTACTTTTTATAATTGTATTAGTATTATTAGATAATAATATAAAATCGTACTTATAACTTGGCAACACGGGTAGGCCACTGTTGTTAGTGGAAAGTTTGGAAGGTATTTAAGATAATATATAAGGGAAATTTTATTTTATATAAAATACTGAAAGCAACGATATATTATTGTAATCAAAAAGCGATTTATGATTAGAGTTCGGTAATCTGGTATAGTATAACAGTCACAGTGGGTTTTAATAGTCGTGCAATATTGGACTTGCGCCTAATTTCAATAAAACCATTATAGCTTCTTTAATACACTCAGAATTTTATAACAAACAACACAAATTTGGTAGTTCTATTTTAAAAAAATACTAAATACTGTTGTTTAGTCAAATGTAAAAAACTACGTAGGCAAGATTTATTAAACATAAATTTCAAATTTTCGAGAGAAGGGGGTTATCCCTCTCCACCTCGGTTACACCAGCGACAGTGAGTATTCATTTAAACACCATAACTATGACATCAACACAAAATAATCAAAATAATAATAAAAATTATAAGAACAATGTAAAACAAAAGTAACAATTTCAAAAGAAATATTATAAATTTTAAACACATAACAGTAAAACTGGTACATTTCTTGTTTCCCCCAGAACCTAAAAAATCAGCCTGTTATACTGATTAAAATTACCAATAATTATTTTTTTTTTAAGATAAGGCGCTCACCTATCTTCCTGAGATACTCGTGAATAGTATTGTCTTCCCCGTATCGCCGAATAAAACGAATACGCTTCATTCAAGTTGTTCGTATCGCTCGTTCTAAGGCTATAAAATAAATATAATCATATTTAAATACATATTCATACTTATAAATGGACACTTTATTAATGATATATAAAATATAAGTAAAATGACGATGACGTGGAGAATATATTATTATTATATTGTATACGAAGATAAATGTACAGTTTTTTTTTTTTTAATACCACTGATCTCGTCTAATGAAAATTTATATTCTACAACACACCATGACCAAAAGGTTTTTGAATCGATAAGTGAATTGTGTAAAAAAAAAAAATAGGCCCGTCACGCTTGAGAGACATGCCACCACCGCATGCCACTATTGTTTTATACTTGAAAACTGCCTCGATACTGTAAAAAGGAAAGAAAAAAAAAAGGAAAAAAAACTGCTATAAAAGACCCACGGGCCCACGTATTATACGTGGCCGCCTACATCGATTTTACACTTTATAAAAAATAATACATATTTTTAGCGAGTTTAATGTGTGAGTGACTGCCACATACACACACACACGCACATTTTATAGGGTGATAGTGTAAAATGGTTTTTTCCTCCCCTACGCTGATCGCACGTTCCCCCAGCGGATAATGTATAATTAAAACCCTTGACCGATTATATAATAGGGATATAATTTTAAAAGGATATAACCTAGAAAAATATTTAAAGTATCGAATAAAAAGACGGCGGAGCGGCGACGAATAATCAAAATTAACTTGAGCTAACAGGAGCTGCTTTTAAAAAAAAAAATGTCATGTACACTAGTAGTCTTGGGGGTCTTGGATCTTTTTACCATCGTCGAGTACCTTTACGTAATATAATAACACGTGTAATCGATCGATATAATTACGATGGGCTCGCGTCGATCATTGTGCAGCAATTCATTATTCCCGACCGAAGATTATGAATATTGAACAATACATTTTATTATATACAGATACTCACTAATAATGATAGTATAGTTGACCTATTTTCGAGGCTATTTCACCTATTTGCCATCGCTTTAGTCCGTATTTCGTATCCAACACTTGTCTGTAACAATAAAACAATAACGACTAATTATTAGTATTTTTTAAAAATATTATATAAAAAATAAAATCATTATAACAAGACTCCACGTGAGTTTTTTTTTTCAGATTCTGAGCGTAGCAAGAAATTTATTGGTTTTAATATATGTGCTTTTTATTTTTTTTTTTTTATTTATGTATCTAATAGCTAACAACTATTCTACCAGAATTAAGACAGATTAACTACAGATTAAGAAATTTATTTTTGTTGCACTTTGGATCTAGTTAGTACAACAATTGGAAAAACTGGAAAAAGTAGGAAAACCGAGAAAGTTTACGTTTCGTATTTATCGATTTTATTTTTGTTTTTTCTAAATGTGGTGAATTTATCTAAACATTTTGACAATTTTTGAGCTATATACATAAATACTATAGAATAAATAGTTATACATTTGACATAAAAATGCATTTTTGGCATGCTTGAAAATTTAACACGAGGTTATATTATAAATTGTATACTTATTGGTCAAAAAAAAAGTTGAGCATATTGTATTAGTTTTTATTTATTTTTTTATAGAAGTTCTAACATCGCAGTTTGAAACATATTGTAAAAATTATACGATATTTCAAAATATGTGTAACCGAACTTTGCTCAGAATCGTTAGGAATGGAACTATCGTTGTGTAAGGGTATAAATATAGGTTTAGGTATAGGTATAAATTATTATCCTAATTTATGAATCTTATATTTTCAACTTCCTATTTAAAACAGTGGCACATGGGTGCACGTATTAGCTCCTCTACCCTAGATTTACAAACACACAACAAAACAAATTCGCGTTTTGAAACAAAAACATTTTGCGCTGGTAGTTTTAATGTAATTAAGATAATAGACTTATTATTAAAATTTTTAAGATATGAAAACATTACCTGGGTTTGTACAGCAGTTATTTTAAAGATATTTTAACTTTTAAACGAGTTTTATCATTTTCTAAATTGTGATATTTTTTTGTATAATACTCGTTTCGAAATTAAAAAACCAAAGTGTAGGCTTTTACAAGAATATTTATAGGTGTGTTCGTATGACAATACATGATTCAGTGTAATATTAAAATTACCAGCGAAAAATGTATTTTGTTAAACACAAATTTGCTATGCCGTGTCATTGTATACTAAACTACAATAAAATATATACTGGGTACTTTTAAACAAAAAAAAACGATGACATTTGAGCATAAAAATTTTAAGAGACAGATGGTTGAAAGTTGAAAATGCCAAAACGAATCCTAGATACTAAACATCATGCGTATACACAATTTTATCTCCCTGACATTGTATAAGAATTCTGTAGAGATGTATAAAGCAAAAAAATCACCCTCTTCCGTCTATAACACGGTAATGAAATTCATGTTGAAATTCATCCTAGTTTGAGATCATTTATTCCAAAGGGAATTATATTATACATTACACATTACACATGACTTTTTTTAAGAAAGTTTTCAGTGTGCAAATGGACACTCAGTAATATTCATTGGACACTCAGTAGAGTAAGATTTTGCTAACTGCGTGTTTACTAAAAAATAAATGGTAAATGTTGATCTATTTGCCCGTGGAGATGTTTTGATAGGGGGAAAAATTTGACACACAATGGATATTCACTAAAAATATCTGATGTATTAATATTTATTATAAATAACAGACACAATAAAATACAATAGTCTCTAATTTTCAAGGAAAATTCGACAAAAAAACTATACATATTAAATGAGACTTTTTTTTTTTTAACGTTTTCTCTTTTATATATATTTTTTTTAATGTAAAACCGAGTGCACACAATCAATACGTAAAAACGTTTAACATAACGCGTGTCGTGATTAAAATAATATTTTGCCGAGTTTAATCGGCCGCCCCTCGCAGTTAGTTGGTTGTATTTAATATTATATAGTTACTCGTGTTATTTTTGTTGTCCACGTCCGTCGGTTTTTTCCCCCCGAATTTCGTGTTAGAAATAACATTTCGTTTCGTTAGTTTTCACAATATGCGATGCGATTTATCGTCGAAACGGTCGGGGGTTTTTATTTTTTTTTTTTTTTTTTTTCAAAAAACCCTCGTCTTAACGCGTACTCAACGGTAACGCTCGCGTTGGTCGCAATAGTATATCGCGCGTTTATCGGTACGGGGGAGGGGGGGGGGAGGGATGAATAAAAAAACGTAGGTATACGCACCTGTGTTGCTGTTGAAATTTCCAAAGTTTCGTGTAAACGTCAAAAGTCTTGCCAAAATACCCTTGCCAGATTTTCTGACCGCATTGTGGAAGGTCTCTGTAGGAAAAAATAAAAACACCCCCACAATTCCCTTTAGAGGACACGTTTTCGTATACTATATTTATACAATATTATTATAGGATACGGTTTTCGCGTCCGGAAAACACGAAATGCACGGTTGGTCGCGCATATCACCCGGGTGAGTCACAGATATAATAATATACCCATATATACACACACACACACATATATATATATATATATATATATACGTATATTAAATACAAACCGGCATTTTTTTTTTTCAACCCTCGCGACCCCTCGCCGCACAATATTTATATACATGCATACGTACGTGTATATATATATATATATGTGTACATACTCGTATTACGCGCGCACACACGCACACACACACGCGCGCGCGCGACACAGTGATAAACTTAAATCGCCGGATTTGTGCGCGTCGGTATAGACTCGAACGGCGCGTATTATTCCGGTGCGTAGTGTGTAATACTATCGCGTATGCGTACACGTAGGTACTTACTGCAGTATACGTATACGGCCCGTATTAGTAACGATACACTCGTATACGTGACTCATCGGTTTCGCGCGCACGTATTGTTATTGTACGTACGCGCGTATGATACACGGGGTACGGTTTTCCCGGAGACCTCGCGCGGTTCGCCCGCGCGGACGTAAAACGGGCCGGAAAACTGCCGTACGCCACGAACACGCGCTATCGCAGTAATATAACCGTGCGTACTAATACCGCGGACTGTACATAAATATCACGTTTCGAAATCACCGTCTGTCGGCCACCGCGCCCCCGCATCCACGCGGGGAAAAATAGCGGGGCGTTCGGGGAGTACTCGGCCCCCTCCCCCCACAAATCGAACGAACGCCAAGTGAGCGTATTGAGCCATATCGATCAATATCATGCGGCGTTGGGCCCGCATGCCCTCCGAAATTTATTTGGCCCGTTCGCGCCGGAGAAAAAAATTTCGGAGAAGAGGGGGGGTGGAGGCGCTATAGCAACGATCATAATATTAATCATTATTACCCGCCGTATTTTGTTCAACCGACTAAAAAACAAAAGCGTCTGTGGGACGACGAAGTTGCACGTGCTCCCAACACGATCATCGCGGTTAGACAAATGTCACATGTGTCGATTCGTATTTTTTTTTTTGGATTTTTCGGCCCGCGTGTCGTGCGTGTGTTCGACCGAGCGCAGGGTGTTGGGCTAGGTTACGGTTTTCGATCTCTGACCGGTGACGCACCCGGGAGGTATACATTTTCTTTGGGGGGTGTGTGAGCCAAAATTTAACATACCCCTCGTGAAAACGAAATTTAGATAATCCCATCCCCTTCCTCCCGATATTGTGTCGGTACACTATACTTTCCTATAATAACCGGTCAGGTATTAGACATGAGGATAGCGTTTCGAATAGTGTCAAAAAGTATTTCGTCCCTAAAAAAAAAATACTTTTGGTTACTTTCGTTGTTTTAGAGTGTTTGGAGTGTTAATTTTCGCGTTGTTTTCGGAATTTTTTTTAAAATACTACGGATTTAAATTTAAATACGTATTCGGAAAACTATTTTATTTTCGTTATAATAGAACACTTATATTCTGAATACTTCTAATATGTATTTTACTCAAGTCAATCACAGACCGAGTAAAATATAAATCCCACGGGTAACAAAATCCGAGATAATTTTCGTGATCTTACTGGATATTGACAAACGCGGATAATTTTTCCACGGGGGGGGAGGGGGGTGAATCGCAACAAAACGACATTCTGTTTAAATACGAATAAAATAACAGTCCTGAAAGATAATATAATTATTACGAAAAGGACCGACTCACCGGAGCCCGTTGAATAGCTGTTTGGACTGTTCCAGCAATTGGCAAAATTCGACTACAATCTTCCGCTCGTGGTCATCCATGCTGGCCATGGTTGCGGCCACGACCATAATTATCAAGTAAACCGGTGTCGAGAGACCTGTGACGGTCACGTCGCCGCATCAACCGCCACGTCGTCGTCGTTGCCGTCGTCGTCGCTGCCGCCGCCGCCGCCGGTGCCCAGCTGCAGCACCGGCAATCACGTAGTGATGGGACGCGTGGGACGCGACCGTGCGCCCGGGGCACGTGCAGATGATAACGACGACGCCGGCGTCCGTGCAACCGTCGGCCAGCAGCCGTGCAGCGTCGCGTCCGCCGTCCACCGTCCGGCGCCGCGGTCCATCACGTCGACGGGGTCAACGTCGCCACCGCGGGATGACCGTCATCCGCGCGGGAGGCGCGTAAAATACTCGCCGACGACAACGCGGCGAGATTGTATCGGCGCTATAGATTTTAGCTATGTACACCGGACCGTGTGACGGCGTCTATAATTTTCCGGTGACCACGCTACGCGCCGCCGTCCAGAGTTATAGCGTTGACAGTACTTACTGCAGTGGCGTGGCGCATCTGCGGCTGCTACTACGGTACGAATATAATCGCTGGCGGCGGCTCTGCGGCGGCGGTAATGGCAACGGTACGGCGACAGCAGCAGCAGCAGCAGCAGCAGCAGCAGCAGCGGCAGTGGCAGAAGTAGCAGCGGCAACAGCGGTAGCAGTAGCAGCGACAGCGGTGGCGGCGTTATGTTATTATTACAGTAGCTGGCAATTAGTATTAATGGTACCGGTCGCGAGCGACTACTACACACTATATCGCACGGCGTAAAACGCGTCTCGGGGACGGGCGCGGGGGATATGAAATGCCGTATCGCCCACGCACGTGTACGGATCGATGTACGGCTGTGGCGCGCGCGCTCCGTTCGCGGCGTTAGTTCGCGTCCGGCGGAGCGTCCAAACTCTATCGGGGGAGGGGGCGAGGCGCGCGCGTTTTGCGGGTTTACGCGGTGGCGGCGGCGGAATCGGACGGGTGGAGGTGGCCGAGTCTGAGTTCGGAGACGGAGCGCGCGTCGGCGGTCGTTTGTCGGCGTTGGCGCAGCGCGTAGGCGGCGAAAGGACGATGGCGGTGCGTCTCCTCGGCCGACTTCGGCGTCGGTACACGACGGAGGGGTCGTTCCGTTATTGATTGTTCCTCGCCGCCCGCCCGTAGTGCCCAGCCGTACGACGCCACCGACTCGCCGCGCCACCGTCGGACGACCCTGAACTTTTCGCCACCCGGTGTACGATAGACGGCGCCTCGAGTGCCAACCGGGATGGCCCGCAGATGGCGCGGTCTGTTTTCTGGTGGTCGTGGTCGTCACCGATCAACGTTCACAGATGTCGACACCGGTATAGGACTTGGTTTTTTTACTCCGCGGGTTTTCGTCGTTAATGTACACGTACGCGAGTTTAGTGAGTCACATCCTTTCTAATATTATAGAACGAAATATAGAAAACTCTCGGTACGGACATTTTCTCTAAACCACAGCAATGGTAATTGTACCTACAATATTTAAAGAGCGATAAACGTATGAAAATATGGTAGGTGTATAGCAATTAATTCTATAGGTTTCACAATTTACATTGGATTGAATTTAGCTATTTCAAGTTAATTTTAGTTCATGTTTATCACAATTCACCAATTACATAGATTGCCTTATTCTTTTCCTTTGTCTTCGTCTCAACTATTTGAGGTCGGCCAGCCTCGTTCTAAACGTCCACTTGACCAGATCCCCTCATCGTCATCGCATACACCCGCCATCATCATCATATCCTTCTCAATCGTATCCAACCACCACTTTTTCAGTCTTCCTCATATGTCTATTTCCATTACGATTCTTACTGCCTTTAATCCTTTCCACTAATACTCCCTCTTCATTATATAAATATCAATTACACCGATAGCATATTATTTTCTTTAAAGGGAAAAGGATACGGACGTTTTAGACCATTAGGTAAATCGTGAAAAATTGGATATATTTCTCATTGTCTGATTTCAATTTTTTAAATGTGAACAAATTTGTTTACAAATTGTCTAGATTATTTGAAAAGTCAAATTTTCGATTTAAAATTTGGTAAGTCCAAAATAAATACATTTGCAATGTGGTTATTTTACGGAATGTTCAAAAATTATATCCTAAAGAAATTAAAACTCAGGGTATCTAGTGTAATTTAATTTTTGGCCGTACACAACGATTAACCATTGCTAACGAAAAACGAATTTGCAGAGCCAGAGTATTATTAGTCATATTTTTTTCTTTTGTTACCAAAGTAAATAAAAAAAATCAACAACCATTATACAATGAATTACCAGTTTTCCTATGTATTAAAAAAACTACGAGGAAAATAAAAAATAAATTCTGCAATGCACTATCTAGATTCTAGATCAAACATTTTATAATAAAGTGCACATAAGGTTTTTGATTGGATCAAAATTTCTGGTATAAAATTTGCTTAGACTGAAAAAAATATCACATCATAGTAAAACCAATACATTATTTACGTTCACCTTTTATTAATACCTAAAATTCGAAAATATCGAACGCCATAAAATTCCTAAATCAAATAGCTCAGAATTCTCCAGAATATTGTTAAAATTGTAGCACATTGTATGCTCGTTAATTTTCATATAATTTATATTGTACAAGTATATGCAATCAAATAATAAATAAACGTTGTACTATTTTGTATTTAGATTGTAGACCGAACCACTGAAGAATGAATTGAAACTGAAAGATAGACAAAATATAGGATTTCAATAGAGACAATATTATAAAACCTTTGATGTACGAAATAAAAATCCTAAAAACAAATAAAGAAAGAAATTTTCAATTAACATCGGTCACATTTTTCTATCTCTATTATGCACCGACCATAATTGCATGTCATGTATATAACAATAATAATAAATAGTTTATTTTGCAACATCAAAGATTTTAAATTATTAAAACATTAGATAAATATTAGTATACAATATTGCTGTACCCCCAACAAGCAAAGCTTGTGCTATATATTACTCAGTAGTAATGTATATTATTACATCTCATGTACCAATATGAATTACTGAATTTTAATTTAAATAAACTGAACAAATTGTACATATAGATTATTTTAATTTAATTATATTATCTTACAATACTTGTATTTCAGTAAATAATAATAGTAATACACTCGAGAGCTGACAACTCAATTTAAAATTTGTCTTTATAAAACACTGATAGCAATATGAAATTAATTCCGCTGACGTAAATTCATCATGTCGTATATTATTATGTGTATGTGTGTGTGTACGGCATCCTTTTAAACAATAAATGAAGGTGAAATAAATTCACCTTTGAACTCCATATCGGCTTGTTCTATCTTTTTACTTTAAAAATATTGAACATTTGAGTACAACTTCGTTGTATCTTCCTTTGAGAATTTAATCAATAATTAATATTATCCTATAATTATTTTTATTTTCTGTAAAAAAAAAAAAAAAAAACAAAAACCGAAGATAATTAAAACATGCACGTGAATTCACACACGTATAATATGTACTATAGCAAGCGGTTTTAAAATATGATTATAGTAACTAAATCGTATTTGTAATAATGTACAAATTATTATATTTACGCGAAACACGAAATCCCCTCTACAGATATTTATATTAGCCGTATCATTACGACGACGATTGCGTATTAAATTTAGTAGGTCACGTTATAGAACAGTGTGAGTAAGTAAACCTAGCAAGAAGTACCATAACTACACTCTAAGGACTATTTTCTGCAATATTTTGTATTACACACTTTTTGGTTTAGATCAAAATTTCATGATCACAAAATAAAATTTGCCCCCATAATCTTAAATACAGTTATTTCACTCATTTTTCTACCAGTTGTTTACAATTTTTTTTAAACAAATATTTACAGGTTTAAACTTTACGGAGGAGAAATACATGGGTAATACAAAAAGTAAACTTAAATAAAATATATTACATAATATCAACTAGTTTGTACTTTATTTATAGATTATTCTTGCAACAAATTTGTTTAGATAACATTTCACTAGGTTTAATTCCTTATTCAAAGGCAGTAAACTAATTATAACAATCCTTAAGATAACAAGTTTTAAAACATCATAATAAATTAATAATAAGCAAGGCCTCTAAAATGTATTTTCTACTAGTAGGCTGGCGATGACAAATTCTTCCATAACAGGTCAAAATAGTAGATACAAGTTTGAAAAAAAAAATTTTAAATAAAATTGTTTTGTTGGGCCCCTACCATTTAATGGTGTCCTAAGCTACAGCCTTTTCGGTATATTGGTTAATTAGACCCTTATAATAAATAAAACATTTTAAAATACTTTGTAATTGATCAAATCTCTTCGATATACTTATTCTAAATTTGTTAAAAAATTAAAAAATACTATAACAACAAAACATAGTTTAGAAATATTTTTTATAACACTCTATGCATATTATAATGTCATACTACATACAAAATATTTGGTATTACACACGAAAATAAGCCCTACTACCCTCAATGGTGCCCTTGGAAAATTGTACACACTGTGCCTCATTGACACAAAAGAGCTGATTTACCTCTAAAATACAGCCAAACCCCCAAATCAAATCTGTATCTAGTGAATCCTAAGTATACACAATGAATATACTGGGAGCTTAAACCCTCTAAATTATTTGGCCTATTTGAACGTAAAAATGGTACAATTTCTAAAATGACATGTAACTATAATATAGTATAGTTAATATTATTTACTTTTAATTCTCTATAATTTTCACATATTTTTAAATATTCACTTTTTTTTTTTTTACAAGCTCAACGGTAAAAAAAGAGTACCAAAGTAGTTCCAAAGAGTACTTTGATATAGTTTACCTGCTAATTCTTACCAATATAGTCAAGTCAAAATAGTCGGATTAGGAAAAAGTTATGTATTCGAGGGCACGAGCACACAAATAGTCCATACCTTATTGATGAACATACAAAGTCCTGATCCATTTCTTGCGATTAATCCCCTCCCCCAACTCCCAAAAATAGTGTTTTTAAACTTTCCGTCATTTTAGATTGTACAGATAAAATTTAAAGAACTAAAATTAAAGATCATAATAATAAAATGTACTATAAGCGTATGCTAAATTGTGTCCTTAATTATTACGAGATAGCAGCAAGTACAGCTTTCTAGTTTTCTAGCTATATGGGTACAGTGAAAGGAGCGTCCGGGAATTAGGCCACAATGAACCTTTTTTCAAGAAGGCATACGGTATATGGGCCACTAAAATTGTACATTTATAACAGGTACACCCAGGGATTGAGCCACTATTTTAAATAATTTCTCGATATTGAATCCGGTAAGTGGACCACTATATTTTATTACATTTTAGACTTAACAAAAGAAAACCCTCTTTTTAACACCACTATTTTAAAACATACTATTATTTTTCTCCACGATTACCAATTTGAATTTTTTATGTTCTTTATAATAGATTTATGTTGACGGCACTTTTAAATACTTTGCAAATCAATCTGTACCACATTATTTTAAAAAAAATTAATAACCATTTCACTAATTTTATATTATGTATTTTAATATATTTAAAATTGTGTATTTTTGTGTTGTACATTTGTGGCCCAATCTCCGGGTACCCTTTAAAAATATACCTTTTTTTTTTGTAGCCGAATACCCGGGTAATAAAATGTACAGAAATATTTACGAAGTAGGTAAATAAAATGTGGCCCAATTCCCGACCGCTCAGTGAAAGATCCTGATACGGAAACGTTAACACCGAATTGATAGTGAGAAAAGCGCTTAAAAATAAG